AGGATCATGTGCAAGGGTCCTTAAATAGCTTACTTAAAATTAAAACACACAGTATTAACTTTAATTGCTACGCTTAGCATTTTACTCCCAAACTTGGGATTCTTATCCTACTCAATTTTACAAGAATTGTCATATTTTTATTATATTTTTCGGAGCACCTTTCCGGTACGCGCTTTTCATAGCCACTATCAGTTTCTGGCACCAGTTCTCATTATTTGGACTTGAAACTCGTTTTACAAGTCCTATATATCATTCTAGTAATTATCATGCACTTATTATAATTTTCCAGGATACTTTTTCGGTACGCATTTATACCGACTAGCAGAACCGGTATCTGCATTTTTCTTCCGAAAAGCGACTATCAGCATTCTAAATCACTTACTATAAATATTAGAGCCTCTTAATAATTATTAGGGTCAATTATGGAATTATTTCCTAATTTTGCATAATTAATTAATTAAATACCTTATTTAACGGTGCAGGTTCTTACATTCACCCCACCTTTTTAGGATTTTGACCTCAAAATCAAAAACATACCTGGTCGAAACTCAGGGTGCTGCTGGAGAAGCTCGTCCTCACGCTCCCAAGTACACTCCTCAACTGCTTCTCGCCACGATCGAGAATCTTTAGTGGTCCGACGGGAGTCTTTAGGTTCTCCGAACCTCCACATCATCAGGTTGCACCACGTACGAAGGATCTGCTATGTACTTCCGAAGCTGAGACACGTGAAACACGTTGTGAATGTTAGCCAAGTTCGGAGGCAAGGCAAGCCGGTAGGCAACAGGTCCTACTCTACCAAGGATCTGGTATGGCCCAATATATCGCGGGCTCAGCTTCCTCACTCCGAGTGCCCGACCAACACCGGTGACAGGTGAAAGTCTCACAAACACGTGCTAAGCCTCACTGTACTCCAGAGGACGATGCTTGACATCATAGTAGCTCTTCTGGCGATTCTGCGTTTGCTTCAACTTTTCACGGATCATCTGGATCTGTAAGGTGGTATCTTTGACAAAGTCCAAGCCAATAAGCTCCTTGTCTCCAACCTCAGACCAACAAGTAGGAGTCCGACACCTCCTACCATACAGTGCCTCGTAGGGCGCCATGTCCAGGCTAGCATGAAAGCTGTTGTTGTACGAAAACTCCACCAACGGAAGGTACCTATCCTATGCCGAGCCTTGCTCCAACGTGCAAGCTCGCAACATGTCCTCCAAGGTCTGGATGGTCCTCTCAGTCTGTCCATCAGTCTGAGGGTGATAGGCGGTACTCAATCTCAACTGCGTACCAAAACCCTCCTGCAGCGCCTCCCAGAACCGAGATGTGAACTTCGGGTCCCTATCACTGATGATACTCTCGGGCACCCCGTGAAGCCTCACAATCTCGCGAACATAAAGCTTGGCCAACTGCTCTGAAGTGAAGCTCACCTTCACTGGAAGAAAATGGGCAGACTTCGTCAGTCTGTCCACAATGACCCAAATAGAGTCACAACCCGCCTGAGTCTTCGGCAATCCCACCACGAAGTCCATGGAAATACCTTCCCACTTCCACTGTGGTACTTCAAGAGGTTGAAGTTCACTAGGGGTCTCTGATGTTCAATCTTCACCTTCTGGCAAACCAAACACTTGGACACAAAGACAACAACATCTTTCTTCATGCCCGGCCACCAAAAGTTCTTATTCAGGTCTTGATACATCTTAGTAGCACCAGGGTGGATCGAAAATTGGCCCTTATGGCCCTCTTCCATAACCTCTTCGGTCTACGGACCTCGAGGAACCACGATCCTCTGCTGAAACAAAAGCAATCCATCATCATTCCAAGACACACCGTCTTGGTACTTCACATAATTCAGACACTCTCTCAGAACTTGTGCCTCTTTGATCTTTTCTAAACAGCTCATTCACAACGTCTGTTGCTTCCATCTCGAGAAGTACACCCTCACGCGGAGCGGTCACTGCCAAGTTTTGAAACTTCTCAACCACATCAAAGTTACCAAGTAACAAACTGGATGAGCTACTGGTTTTCCGACTCAAAGCATCAGCTACCACATTGGCCTTGGCAGGATGATACCTCAGCTCGAAGTCGTAGTCCTTTATGAACTCCATCAATCTTCTCTGCCTCTTGTTCAACTCCTTCTGGTCGAACATGTACTTCAAACTCTTGTGGTCACCACAAACCTCAAACCAAAAAGTTAATGCCTCCAAATCTTGAAAGCAAACACAATAGCAGCCAACTCCAAGTCATGAGTAGGGTAGTTCTCCTCATGAGGTTTCAACTGCCTCGAAGCATAGGCAATCACTTTGTCCAACTGCATCAACACACAACCTAGCCCCTTCCCGGAGGCGTCGGTGTAAAGCTCAATCTCAAGCGCAAGATCAAGAAGGACCAACACAGGAGCAGTAGTCAGTATCTCCTTCAATTCCTGAAAGCATTCCTCACACTCGTGAATCCAGACAAATGGAGTCTCCTTCCGAGTAAGGCGATTCAAAGGGAGAACCATCGTGGAGAAACCCTTGATCAACCTTCGATAGTAACCTGCCAAACCCAGAAAGCTCCTCACTTCTGCAACTGTCTTGGGTCTCTCTCAATCCACTACGGCCTCGATCTTGTTCGGATCCACTGCAACTCTTTCAGCAGAAATAACATGCCCAAGGAATTTCACAGACTTGAGCCAAAACTCACACTTAGAAGGCTTCACGTACAACTTCTTCTCCTTCAGCACTTGCAGAACAATCCTCAGATGCTCCACATGCTCCTACTCCGTCTTGGAGTAAATCAAAATATCGTCAATGAAGACGATCACAAACTGATCCAGGTACGGCTGGAAAATCCGGTTCATGTAATCCATGAACACAGCAGGTGCATTGGTGAGTCCAAAAGGAATCACCAAATACTCAAAATGACCGTATCTCGAACGAAATGCGGTCTTAGGGACATCCTCCGGCTTCACCCGAATCTGATGGTATCCGGACCGAAGATCAATCTTGGAATACACGCGAACACCCCTGAGGTGATCCAACAGATCATCAATCCGAGGAAGGGGATACTTGTTCTTGATCGTCACCTTGTTCAGCTGCTTGTACACGGTGCACAATCACACTGTCCTGTCCTTCTTCTTTACAAAGATAACTGGTGTTCCCCAAGGAGACACACTCGGTCTAATGAAATCTTTCGCTGAAAGATCCTCAATATGCTTCTTCAGCTCTGCCAACTCCGGTGGCGACATCCGGTATGAAGCTAAAGAAATCGGCCCCACACCATGCAACATATCTATGGAGAACTTTATCTCCCTCTGTGGCGAAAACTCAGGAATCTCCTCAGAAAACACCTCGAGGAATTCCCTCACCACAGGAATGCCAGTGATATCCTCCTGTGTCTCACTCACCAAACCTTCCAACATGACATAACCAAATCCCCTGCTCTCAAGGCTCTCTTAGCCTGCAACAACGAAATGTACGACGAGGAACTGGCTGTGGAATAACACGGAGACAACACCACACGCTTGGCACAACAGTCAATCAACACACAATTTCTGGACAACCAATCCATGCCCAGAATAACCTCCAAGTTGGCCATCGGAAATCCTATCAGATCTACTGAGAACTCACAGCCATCCCACTGAAACGCTACATCGCGATGAACAGTGGTCGCATCACACTTTTCTCCGGTGGCGGTGGTAACCCGCAATCGAGGTTGCAACAAAAGAATGCGTAGCCCCAGAGTCAAACAAGACATCCACAGGTGAACCACCAATGGTAACAGTACCTCTAACAAGGTTCAGAGCTCGATCCGACTGCTGACGATCCAGAGAATAAACTCTCCCAGAAAATGGTGGCACTGCCGGTGCCGAAGTAGGTGGAAGAGGAACCATTTGAAGTGGAACTGCCTGCACTGCAGTAGCCCTCGTCGTCGCCGACGGACAGTCTCTGGTGAAGTGGCCCTCCTTGCCACACTGAAAGCAAATCAACTGACCGGTAGAACACTGCCCAAAATGAGTCTTCCCGCATCCCGAGCACCTGGGAGCAGGAGGTCTCGTTGCATTCCCTTGAGCATAAGTCCTCTTGAACTGAGTCGGCGCCTGTCGAGCTGCCATCTGTTTACCTTTGCCCTTGTTCCCAAACTTCCTGTCTCTCTAAGAAGTGGAACTACCAGCTACAACCTTCGTCGCCTCTGCAACCTTGGCCTTCTTGGCCTTACTTGTGCTGTAGAAATCCTCAATATCACGACACTGCTGAACCAGTGTCCCAAAGTCTCTAGAAGCAGAACCAGCAAGGTAACCAGCAATATCCTCACTAAGTCCCCTGCGAAACTTAGCAGCCAAGAATGTAGGAGTAGGCCTCGCCATCCTAAAGTGTGCAAACTTCACCAACTGGTTGAACTTGGCCAGGTACTCGTCCACAGACAACGAGCCCTGAACCAATCTGTCAAACTCTCCCAGCTGTCTCTCCTGAGCGTCATACGGAAAGTACTGACCCAAGAAGAAATCCTCGAACAATGGCCACGTCATCCTATGGCCCTGCATCTCGTAAATGTGAGAAGTGTTCGTCCACCACTCGTAGGCATCGCCCTCCAGCATGTAAGTAGAGAACAACAGCTTCTACGGATCTGTGCACTGCATGACTCGAAATATCTTGTCCAACGGCTGTAGCCAACGCGCCGCAGCAACAGGATCAAATGATCCATCAAAGGCAGGTGGCTTATGCTTACGGAAAGCATTCAACCGGCGATCGATCTCATCTCGATCCTCAACAAAAACAGGGACGGTCTGCATGGACCCCGTAAGGTGACTGCCATTACCCATCTGACTCTGAGAGTCATCCTGCAGACTGGGCGGAGGTGGTGGTGGTGGCGGAGGAACATGGCCAACAGCAGGACCATTCCTCATCTCCTTCAACATGACTCTAAACATCGTCATGTTCGCTAGACGGTTGGCCTCCAACACGTCCTCAGTGGCCTTCCTGTTTGCCTCTCTGACGGCGTCCAACATGGTCTGGTTTTCCATTCTCATGGCCTTCTGGTCGGCTTGTCGGGCCGCCTGCATGTCAGCCAATGCAGCCAGGACAGGATCAGGCTGATCCTCCGAAGTCTCGCGGGTTCTCCCGGGTCTTACCATGACTCTGCACAAGTTACACAAATTATGAGTTGATCAGGCCCACACAATGGGTTCACATATGCATTATCATAATAATACTCGACGAAGCAAACACACAAAACAGACACAACCAAACATCCTAATCATTGCAATACATACAAGCTCTTCCCTTGAACCGTTGCTCTGATACCATAAAATGTAACACCCCGTATATATCTGGTAGTGTTATCATTACATCGTATTAAGCTACGCTTAATTAAAAATGTGGAATATTCTTTTTCTTTTCAATTATGACGTCATTATCAATTACCAACTTGATTACTTAATCAATTTCATAAAATATTGCCAGAATGTAAATTGCAATAAGACATCTACTGAAACACCTCAATATATAAATAAAGTGAGTATCTAAGTCACGGCATTACATCACGTAATCCGGACAATATCCTGATACATTAATACAACTATAATAAAAGCAAGACATAATAAGTCTACATGGCATGGACAATTCCCATGCTCACCAAATCAACAGCGTCTCAACAAGATAATCCAAAATCATAACACGAAGCAAAAGCATAAAAACAGCAAGCATATCCAGCATCCAACATGTCAGCATATAATGTCATCACTAGCTAACTCAGCCTGAGGTCTCAACATTACCTGACCCTGAAATAAGCATTCCCCAAACGTGGGGTGAGATCTCTAAACCAGAAATCTCAGTAAAACAAGGGGTCCTCAAGGATCTTTCACCCAAGCTCACTTACATGTGCAATATAAGTTCAAAAAGCATTTATATCAATATCAGTTCCAAAACTATGCAGTGCAACAGATATTCATGCCATGTGTGTTATCACTATTCTACTGGCCAGAGAAATGCAGAAATACGTCTATTACCTACATATAGTACAAGGAACACCGCTTGCACCTCACCCACAGCCTCACCATATTGTATGTACCACATACTCAGGCTTACCGTATAGGTGGAACACCACATGCATATCAACAAGGCATTAGCATATAACAGCTCAATAGCATTTCCAAAACATTAAAAGCATGTAACACAACATGCATATAACCATACCCCCATGGCACATGGTGGAACCACAACATGGCTAACCCGAGGACACGAAAGCTTACCTTGCAAGCCCACTATCCAATGCCAAGAGTCCACACGGCTCAAGTCCAACACACAGCAGATCATAATCTGATATGGACCAACAAGTATATCAACATACATAGCTCAAAAGCATTAACATAAAAACTACGTTCTCCTTTAACGATTTACGTCTTAAGGCTTCCAACGAAGTCACAAGCCCTTAATCACATGATTCTGACTTAGTTCATTAATTACAGAAGTTCAACTTCATCACTCTAGGGTCCACAAACCCCCAATAGCCTACTGTCCTCACAGCACAGCTACTGTTCTTCGAAATCCCAAAATATCCGGATATGCAATATCCGGATATCTCACTGACCATATCCGGATATACAATATCCGGATATCCAGATTCCCATATTCGGATATCCAATATCCGGATATCCAAATCCCATATCCGGATATCAAATATCCGGATATTTCACGACAGAATGCAGAAACTGCATTTCGTGAAGATATCCTTCCAAGGTTGGGTTTTTACCGATTATAAACACTTAAACATGCATTTTTAGGTGTGCTTGACATTACCCAACGTTAAGTTATCATCTTTTAGCCTTTAGATGCATCAAGGTTCCATTTTTAGGCATAAAAACTCAAGATCAAGTTGAGGTACATACTCAAGGCTTCAAAGCAGAAACAAGGGCTGCTCTTGGAGCTCACAACCAGCTCCAACAAACTGACTACACAAGACCAACGAAAATGCCACAAAGTTTGACCCTTTCTCCACAAAGGAAGCTCCTTGAAGCTTCACAAACCAAGAAGATGACTCCACAACCCCCAACTCAACAAGACAGCACCTCAAGCTCACAACAACAACATCACAACTCAGAATGGAGCTCACTACACTCTCACCATGATAGTTCCCACTCACCCAAGGTGTTTAAATGAAGAAACAACAACAAAAAAATGGTCTCTTGGAGGTCTCAAAGGAGGAAGAAGGAGGTGCAAGGCTGCTGCACACAAGACTCAGCAATTTCTCACGTAGAAATGAAAGGCGGCTGACCTAGGATCATGTGCAAGGGTCCTTAAATAGCTCACTTAAAATTAAAACACACAGTATTAACTTTAATTGCTACGCTTAAAATTTTAATCCCAAACTTGGAATTCTTAACCAACTCAATTTTACAAGAATTTTCATATTTTTTTATATTTTTCGGAGCACCTTTCTGGTACGCGCTTTTCATAGTCAGTATCAGTTTCTGGCATCAGTTCTCATAATTTGGACTTGAAACTCGTTTTACAAGTCCTATATATCATTCTAGTAATTATCATGCACTTATTATAATTTTCCGGGATACTTTTTTGTTACGCATTTATACCGACTAGCAGAACCGGTATCTGCACTTTTCTTCCGAAAAATGACTATCAGCATTCTAAATCACTTACTATAATTATTAGAGCCTCATAATAATTATTAGGGTCATTTATGAAATCATTTCCTAATTCTGGATAATTAATTAATTAAATACCTTATTTAACGGTGCGGGTTCTTACAGAATTCATGGTGTTATATGATAAAATCATAAAGATTTGAAATTGAGCTAATGTTTTGATATCTTGCTCATTTTGAAGGTAAATCCACAAGATTTGGTGCTAAGAAGTGATAAAGGAATCATAACAAAGATTTGAAGCCCAATCTGCAGGATCTTAAATAAAACAAAAACAAATCAAGATTTGATTGGGAATTGATAGAGATTCATGGGGAGATTTGATGAAGAATTAATGGATATGGCTTCAAAAGTTATAAATAGGGTGCTTGGGGTCAATGGAACCAACCAATTCAGAGACACACCAAGGAATTACACAGAGACCTGAAGGAGGAATCCTGTTGCGGAGCGTTGGAGCACTGAGGAACCAAGTCAACATCACACCAATGGAGGCTTGAGGTTCTCTTTTATTTCTTATTGCTTTTTAATTCAGTATGCTAGGCTAAGTGTTTATGTAGTTAGGGGTAGTTGGAACCCAATTGAATCTTATGCTTTGAATTAAATTGTCTCTGAATTCTTTTTTTTATAATTGAATAAATTTATCTGTCTTTAATGCTTTCTATGAGTTTGCTCCTTATAGATTGATTTAGGAGAATTGTATGACAATAGGGATGTTGGTGCATGAACCCAGACTTGGTAAATTTATCACAATTCTTGTGATCTAGAGATAGACATAGGGTAATTGTGCAATCTTGAATTCTTGATCTTAATGTATGTTTTCTTGGGGAATAACCAGGGAACTAGGGTTCTTCTGAGATCACATAGATTTAGGGTAACAAGAAATTGAGCCCTAATTAACTTAAAAAGAATTGATTGGCAATATTTTAAGAACATATTCTTGACAGTTTAATTCATAGCATATAGAGGAGATTGGGGAAAGTCGAAGCCCTAACTACGCTTGTTTTTAATCTTTAAATCAATCATCTTTCCAATTGCTTTTTAATTATGAATTTTAATTTGCATGTTGTTAATTGTTTTCTTTTTAATTTCAATTTTCTTCATCTAAATATTGATTGTCCAACTAAATCGCGATTAGCAAACTAGTGTTTGAAACCCAATTCTCGTGGAAACGATTTCGTACTCCGATACACTTTTATTACTTAACGATCGGTGCACTTGCCGAGTCGCAACACCGTGATGTGAAAAAGAAGAGGCTTGGACAAATTCTTTGATGGTTTGGGTTTTTTAGGGAGACGAGGGTTATGATGGATTGAGTTTGAGTTATTTTTTGTTTTTTTGAAAGCATAATAAGGGTTTTTGGGACTGAAGCTTTTTCTACTATTTTCGTGGTTTCAGGGATGTGGGTGATTTCGTATAGGTTGTCTAATTTAAAGGCTACATGTTTACTACAATAAGGTGGGATAAGCATATATAGCTTAGTAGAGGAAGAAATATATAGACACGTGGAGGCTATGAAGTTAGCATTTTGATGGTGATCCATATCTTAATGAACTTGTCTTTCCTATATTATTACTAATTTAATCTATGACACGATATCATTTTGGGGTTAGAAAAAATAATTATATATATATATATATATATATATATATATATATATATATATATATATATATATATATATATATATCTTGAGTATTAATAAAGTTTTATTAAGTTGTATTATGTTTTATTAGTTTAATAAATTTTTTTTTGTTTTTCTATCAACATTAACAATCTTTCATCATCACTTTCTACTCTTTTTTTTAGTTTTAAATAAAAGTAAACTATGGAAGTTATTGACATCTACCTTAGTGTTTTTCGTCCCTTTGTATTAAAAAGGAATTACTAGATTGTGTTAAAAGTAGATGATCAAATTTTAAATTATTACCGGATGCGTTGATATAATATGTGCCATTAATAATCATACATGTTAATTTTAATTTATAAAATACATTGCACATTGCACCCAAATTTTTGGCCAGATTTAATTCTTTCTTTTACATCTTCAAATAAATAGTTTGTATTTGAATTATGGGGTGACTATATTTTCTATCATTTTAATCTTACTTTTTTTACTATCTGTTTGGTTACTGTTGGATCAACTTGAAATCAACGTTTGAAGAAAAGAAAAAATTAACTACCATTAATTTCAAATTAATCAAACGGTAATCAAATAGATAGTAAGAATAGTAAGATTAAAATGGTACTAAATATAACCTTCCACTTGAATTATATGATAAGCTTGTGTTTTATACAAATTTAAAAGGCAAAACACAAAACACCAAGTTTTGGAAAGAACCTTGGGATACACCACTCTAAAAGCTAGCTCAAAGTCGGGGTGTTCATCAACCGATCCAAACCGATTCAAACCGCGGTGACCGAATCGACAAACCGAAAACCGAAAAACGAAAAACCGAAAAAAAACCGCAAATTTTAATTGGATTGGATCGGTTTTCGGATGGGTTGATGAAAACCGATCCAATCCAAACCGATCCAATATATTAATTCCCTTATACTTACTTGGGCCTTTTCCTAATTATAACCCAAAAATTTATAAACCCAATACCTATTAACCTATCAACTAAATCCAAGAAAAAAAACCTAGTCACATCTCATCAATAATATTTCAAAAAAAAAAACTATATTATCGTCTATTGATGCTTCATATATCATTGCCAAAAAAAAAACCTACATTTTCGTCTATTGATACTTTTGTATTTCAAAAAATAAATAAATTTACAAATCAATATATACAAAAGTTGTTATTTGCACAATAATCATGAAACAAATTTTAGGATTTTTAAAAAACCGATAACCGATCCAATCCAAACCGAAAAAAATTGGATTGGATCGGATCGGATTTGAAAAAAAATTCAAACCGAATGGATGATTACATGAACAAACCGAAGTGATTAGATCAGATATTTTTGCTTCCAAAACCGATCCAATCTAGACCGCGAACACCCCTAGCTCAAAGGGTGAGAGTGCCCAAGGTTTTATAATCTTCACATTAGTTGCTCATACAACTAATGTGGGATTATATATCTCAATAAAATATTCCAATATACTACACTTCCAAACTTCTTTTTTATTTGCCACATTTAAGATGGGTCCACCAATGATATTGCTTTTGACACTTGGCAAGCAAAAGAAATCTGGCTAATGGAGACAACCGTACTTAAATGTGATAGATATGAAAAAAGTTAAAAAATATGGCATATTGGAGAATATATTTTCCCATGACATTTTGGTTTTTGTACCCAAATTTCTAATTTTTGTTTTTTTAAAGTATAATTTTTTCTTAGAACTTAATCTTTTCTATACGTAGTTGACTTTCTAATGTTGTGGAAACTCAATGCTGTTAAAAATATGAGTAAATGACCCTTTTTATCCCTAACAAAAAAACACGATTTTCACTTTAGTCTCTTACAAAAATAAATTAGTTAGTTAGTCCTTAACAAATTCAAGGTGGATTCATTTTAGTCCTTTTGAGGGACTAATATGGATCTTTTTTGAATTTGTGAGGGACCACAATTTCAACTAAATGGATTCCCTTTAAATTTGTTAGGGACTAACTGACTAATTTATTTTTATAAAAAACTAAAGTGGGGACCGTATTTTTTGTTAGGGATAGAAGGTATTTACTCTAAAAATATACACAACACAATATGCATCTGATTTGATGTTGATGCACCTGATTCCTCGAATATCATAAATTATATACAAAGTCGCAGAAACTGCTCAAGTACAACGTGTGCATTTGAAATGGAATAAAGAAAAGAACATCAACGTTACCTCACATGACAACTTCATGTTCCTTAAACATTCTTTGCCTCCACTTTTAAAACAAATAACACAAAGGGCAATGTTATTTGCTTTCACCCCATCATCATATTTCATATATTCTTTTCTTGCTTTCACTCTTTCTTTCAGACAAATGATAACCAAAATCCAATCTTTCTGATTATGAAACCACACCCCATGTTAAAATCCAATATAAATATCACCCCAACATGATCCAAACAACATGTAGAAAACTATTCTCTCTCAATTCAACCCAAGTCCTTTGTTATTTGTTTCATAGTTATTATTGGCTTATTGCCATTGTTGTTCAAATGGCTTCTACCTCAAGTCCAGTCTTGAAGAGATCAGATTCAATAGCAGATAGCATGCCAAATGCCTTGAAGCAGAGCCGTTTCCATATGAAGAAATGCTTTGCCAGGTACTATATGTCATTGCACATAGAGTTTTATTTTTGTTTATGTGTTCCACATTTTGGCTCTTTCATTTTCTCATAAAATGTAAAACAGGTTTGTTGCAAGTGGGAAAAGGTTAATTAAAAGGCATCATATAATGGAGGATGTGGAGAAAACAGTTGAAGACAAAGTTGAGAGGAGCAAGCTCCTTGAGGGCTTGTTGGGTTATATTCTGAGTAGCACTCAGGTACAATTTTAAAGCTAACAATTTGAATCTCTTTTGACAAACTCTAAAAAAGTGATTTAAGGGATTAACTTTTGGAACAAATTGGGATTGTGTGCAGGAGGCAGCTGTTGTTCCACCTTATGTTGCTTTGGCAGTGAGGCCTAATCCTGGGTTCTGGGAATTTGTTAAAGTGAATGCAGATGATTTGCAAGTAGAAGGTATTGAGGTCTCAGAATACTTGAAGTATAAGGAAATGGTATTTGATGAAGAGTGGTAAGTGGTTTTCTCTTATGCTCATTTGCATAATGGTTTAGCTAGCCATGCCATTTTCTTTTTGTCAACATGTTAAGAGATATTAATATAAAATCATTAATGTCGACATGATTTACCAGCATAACTTGTTAGGTTGAATTGATTGCATTACATGGTATCAGAGCTTGTGACCAAGTCATCACGAGTTCAAACGTTACCCCTCCTGTTCTCTAATAAAATTACAATGATTAGTTGACCCTTTGATGAGCCTTGAGGCAGTGCAAATGCTGAACATCACTTGAATATGTGCAGGGCAAGTGATGAAAACGCTTTGGAGATAGATTTTGGGGCTATTGATTTCTCAACCCCTCGCATGGCTCTTTCTTCTACTATTGGAAATGGACTAAACTTTACTACCAAGATCATGACCTCAAGGTTGAGTGAGAGCTCCCATTTTACAAATCCATTGCTCGATTACTTATTGAGCCTTAACCATCAAGGAGAGGTAAATAGAGACCTGAGACTATCAAATATTGAAATGTTTATAAATGAAAAAGCAGTAAAAACTAATTTTGTAATAGAAGAAAAGGTGGTTATAACAGCGACTGCATATTTATTTTACCATTCTGCAGAGTCTTATGATCAATGACACTTTGAATACCTTGCCAAAGCTTCAGCAAGCACTGAAAATAGCTGAAACTTATGTATCTGCACTCCACAAAGATACACCATACCAGAATTTTGAAGCCAGGTCAAAATCTAACTTTTCTACTTCATGCCTCCATTTTGGTAATAGTGAATAAACGTACATGAAAAGATTGAAAAAAAAAAGGTTTAGAAAGTTCACTCTGAGTTGAAGATATAGTAAAGAACTAATGAGTAATGAACTTTTGTTGTTATTATTATTATTGTCTTTATTTTTTTCTTTCCTAAGTTTTGATCATAAGTTATTTAATTTTCTACTTCTGATTGTGTCTTACTTTCTTGTTCATTTTACCTGGGGAACCAAATGAAGATGGGAAAATCTATTTCCATATTGATAATCTCTACTAATGTTAGCAGGTTCAAAGAATGGGGATTTGATAAAGGGTGGGGAAACACTGCTGAAAGGGTTAAAGAGACAATGAGAATGCTTTCTGAGGTACTAGAAGCAGCAGACCCAGTGAAATTGGAATTGCTTTTCAGTAGGCTTCCAAATATGTTCAACATTGTTATTTTCTCTATTCATGGGTACTTTGGTCAAGCAAATGTTCTTGGATTGCCAGATACTGGAGGCCAGGTATGATTCCCTCCTCTTCAATGATTGAATATAAGAAAATGCAACATAGTCAAAATTTTATTGTCAAAATTTTTGAGCACACTAAGTTCATTGACTCTTAGATGTATTATGGTCCTTACCATGTTATTTTATCTAACAACTTCCCTTGAATTTTACCTTAATTTTGTCAAAATTATGGCTATGTTTTTTTTCTGGCTATTTGAAGTCTATAAACTGAGTGTTCTTTTCTTTTGATGGGGTTGCTTTTTCTAACAGGTGGTATATATTCTTGATCAAGTAAGGGCCTTGGAGGAAGAGTTACTTCATAAGATTAAGCTTCAAGGCCTTAATGTGAAGCCCCAGATTCTTGTGGTAGGCTACTAAGTACTAACTAGTAATACAAAAAAAACAAATTATGCTTCAAAAAATTGAAAAAAAGTAAAAGCCATCACCACATTTCTTGTTTTCATCATTCTTATTCCTTTTTATTTTGCTTCCTCTATCTTCAAAGTGTTTACACTTATGTTCCATGCACAGGTTACTCGTCTTATACCAGATGCAAGAGGGACCACGTGTAACCAAGAACTGGAACCTATCATCAATACTAAGCACTCCCACATTCTAAGGGTCCCTTTCTGGACAGAGAAGGGAATTCTACACCAATGGGTCTCACGTTTTGATATCTACCCTTACTTAGAAAGATTTTCCCAGGCATGTGCTATCATATCTTTATTTCATTCCATATAAGAGAGGAGGTTGAATAACAAAAGAATGGAAAAGATAATGTGCTTATGTTACTCTTTTAATTCATGTAACTTTATCTTCAACAGGATGCTACTAGCAAGATTCTTGAACTCATGGAAGGGAAGCCTGACCTCATTATTGGAAATTACACTGATGGAAACTTGGTGTCATCCTTAATGGCTTCTAAACTTGGAGTAACTCAGGTTCTTTCAATCACCTGAAGAGTCAAAAGTGTGCATGTACATTATTTTCCTATTAGAACTTTGGACTAAAACTTCTATCCATAATAAATGAAGGCAACTATTGCTCATGCATTGGAGAAAACCAAATATGAGGACTCAGATGCCAAATGGAAGGAATTTGATGAGAAGTACCACTTTTCAAGTCAGTTCACAGCTGACATGATCTCAATGAATGCAGCTGATTTCATCATAACTAGCACATACCAAGAGATTGCTGGAAGGTAGGTCTTTTTTTTTTCCTTCTGAGTCCTACATTCTTATTTATAAACTATCTTATGGCTGATTATTATATATTATCAAGATGGTAACTTTTCATTATTTTGTATCATCAGCAAGGATAGACCAGGACAGTATGAAAGTCACACTGCATTTACCATGCCTGGACTTTGTCGCATAGTCTCAGGCATCAATGTGTTTGATCCAAAGTTCAACATTGCTGCACCTGGAGCTGATCAGACTGTGTACTTCCCTTTCACAGAGAAAAAGCAAAGATTGACCACATTTCATCCTGCCATTGAAGAACTAGTTTATAGTAAGAATGACAATGAAGAACACATGTGAGTCTCTTCCAAGTTTGATCCCATCATCCACTTGCATTTTATAGTAATGGAATCTAGTCATTATAATGGCCTCATTCAATCTAAAATGTGTTTTGGAACAGTGGATTTTTAGAAGACAGGAAGAAACCAATCATCTTCTCCATGGCTAGGCTTGACAAAGTGAAAAACCTTAGTGGCCTAGTTGAGTGGTATGCAAAGAATAAGAGGCTAAGGAGTTTGGTAAATCTTGTGGTTGTTGGAGGGTTTTTCAATGCATCCAAATCCAAAGACAGAGAAGAAACTGCAGAAATCCAAAAGATGCATTTCCTAATGAAGGAATACAAACTCAAAGGTGAATTCAGATGGATTGCAGCACAAACTGATCGGTACCGCAATGGAGAGCTCTACCGGTGCATTGCAGATACAAGGGGAGCTTTTGTGCAACCAGCATTGTATGAAGCTTTTGGTCTCACAGTCATTGAGGCAATGAACTGTGGATTACCTACTTTTGCAACAAATCAAGGAGGTCCAGCAGAAATTATAGTTGATGGGGTCTCAGGTTTTCATATTGATCCCTACAATGGAGGAGAATCAAGCAACAAGATTGCTAACTTCTTTGAAAAGTGCAAGGATGATTCTGAACTTTGGAACAGAATGTCACAAGCTGGTCTTCAACGTATCAATGAATGGTATTACTTTTAGGGTTCATTTAATCTTATGTTGAAGGAGAGATATTCTCTCATGTTGTTGTGACACATATGTGGCAGGACCCGCCATTTAAAGAAAAAAGAAAAAAAAAGAAAAATAAATGTCACGATTTTTGATGAGTGTGTAGGAGATAAAACTACTCTTATGCAACATAAGAGTAGTTTTTCCCTTACTTTTAACTAACAAGTGTACTTAAAACATTATTCATGGTTGAATTTCTTAATTTCATGGTTGGTTTTCCTTGCAGCTATACATGGAAGATATATGCAAACAAAGTCTTGAACATGGGATCAATTTATGGGTTTTGGAGAAGGTTGAACAAGGAGCAAAAATTGGCTAAGGAAAGATACATTCAAATGTTCTATAACCTTCAATTCAGGAACTTGGTAAGTTTGGCAAATGGTGTTACTTCCTTTGTTCTAAGTTCAATAATTATTGAAAAATCATGGGATTTTTTTCTTCTTCTTTGCATTGCAGGCAAGAAAGGTTCTCATTCCTATGGAGACACACCAGGAACCTACATCAATCTCAACAACTTCAGCCAAAAAACCAGCAACAGAAGCATTGCCTACACCCAAGGTCTTGAGGCCTGGTGCATCACCTCAAGCTCAATTAACAGCACCACCACCCCCCAAAATTGAATATCAGCCAACCCCAAGGTAAGTCATTTAATGCAAGTAGCTAGACCTCATGTGTCAAATAAAAAAAATACTAAGATTTACCCCAAATGAATATTTTATTCCAGCTTTGCAGATAAATTAAAAAAAAAATTAAGTAACATGGATGAATATTTGCATGAAGTTTTCATAAATTGTATCAACTGAGAAATTATATTGATATGATCTAAATGAGATAGAAAATTGTATGAAGCTTTTGCATGTATTCATCTTGGTCTAGCCCTTATGAGGTTCTCTTTAGCAGGGTTGATGGTTCAAGTCAAGGACTAGCTGCTTCTAAAGAAAGGGTTGGTGTTTGCAATGGATTAACTTGGTTGGTTTCCATTGTTGCTTGTCTGTTCATCATCCATTACTACTTCAATTTGGACCGTCTATTCAATTGGAAGCAATGATTTCAGATAGAATCACAATCAACTATAGATATAATTTTAGTTTTAACTTATATACATATATTTGTATTTCAGTCTAATTGTAAATGATTTCAATAGTAAATAAGATGTGCCATTTCAACTGAAGTCCGTTGGAATTAGTGGCATGTGAAGTCAAAACATTACAAATTCTCTTTCACATGGATCATTCATCATGTCACGGCATGTTTATTTTTTCTTATACAAAAATTGCAAATTATAATTCAGAACAATACATATACAGATAGGTGGAGATTTCCAGAGAGATATTACAAATTCATAAAAAAAGGGCAAACCCAATAACCAATGATATCAATTTCAAAGTAGTTAGGGGATTGACATTTTTCCCATATGAGAAAGATATCAAATATTTACATTATAAATTAACTTCTCTTTCTCTTTATTTAGAAATTGTCAGCGCACACACAAAAATACCGAAATACGCAAGTAAAGCTAAAAAAGACGTACACAATTATCTGATTTATACTTATTTGTAAGAGTCATTTATCAACTCACAAAAAATTATACACTTCATAGATGAAGCTAGAAAATTTTGATATTATTGTTTTGCATAAAAGATAAGCAAATATTTGATATTTTTATTTTATAACTTGTAAAAATATCAAACACCGAATTAGTACCAACACCCCACTATCTATAACAAAAACTATCTTACTTCTTAAATATATATATATATATATAGGGGGGAATGATCCGTTTACAAACTTTTTTTACAAATTTTTATAAATTACACTATCGTCCCCCGGGAGAAGATAGTGTAACTAGTGTTCTCCCGGAAGAAGATAGTATAGTTTGTAAACAAAAAAGTTTGTAAATATAATCTACTATATATATATATATATATATATTGTGGCCTGACCAATTTAAGTTTTTTTTTTTCACCTTAATTTTTACTTTTGGAATGGATCTCGTGTCTACGGTGTTTTTGAGAAGCAGAATTGACCTTGTCGAAGTTAGGAATTTACATACATTTTGGAAAGATTTTACATATTGACATGCTTGAACCTTTTTCTCTCCGTTGAGCTGAAACTTGAGCTATAGCTGGTTAATTTGAAACTTCCAAAATTACGTATGGTTGCTTTGTTTCTTTCTTAACTGGCTCACTTGATTGATATGAAAACTGAATTTTTTTTGGCTAAAATCTTGATTATGAATAGAGTTACAGTTTGTTTGGTTGGAGAGCATTGAGAAAGAAAGAAAATTGAAGGAGACAAAATGGACAGCTTTTGGGTCTTTTGACCCATTTAATATGAAAAATGAACATTTTTTTTTCATTTATTCAAAAGTCAAATGTTTTATCAAAGTAATACGGTGACACACACTAGAGATGTACACAAGTAACATGTAATGTGGCCGTGTAAATTCAATTTTGCATAAATCGTGTATCACTCCATGTACAATTTGAACATACATATATTTTTATATGTTCGTTTCACAGCATTATTTTAACAAAATATTTAACATCCAAATCAACTTAAGAAAATATTTGCCTCTTGAAATCATTATTCTTGTAAGGGTTAGATTCCAATACTTTATCTTCCGTGGATGAGGAAATAAAAGGGATGAGAAAGGGGGGAAATATAGGTGTGGGGTCCACTAAGAATTTTGTGAAGCAAATAAGAGGGAGACTGGGTGAATTTTAAATATGTAATTGTCCAAAAATAGAAATTCTTTTCAAATCATATTAAAGGTAAATAGGTCATTTTATACAAGTACATTTTTGTTTCTTCTCACATTTTTATACAACCAAACAAGAGAAAATATTATTTCTCTCTCCTTCTCTTCAACCAAATATTAGTGTGATGTATTGCTTTTGAGAGCGGGATGAAAACGTAAGGCTGAAAGCTTGTGTGATCCAAATTACTAAGATGGAATTTTTTGTTAATTTTTTTCCCTTTCTTTTCCTTGGCTCTGTAAATTTTCCTTGGGACACATAATTTTAAATGATATATTATGTTGTTTCTTGATAATTAAGAAAAGACAATCTTACTAGAAAAAAAAAGCCAAGAAATCTCAGAAATTTAGTCCTTCTAGTGATTATTAATCATGGTTATTTGAAATGTACATGGGATATCTACAATGATTCAATTTGTAATATGGAATCTACCCTGATTTCGCTGCACGGTATGTGGATTTATTAGAAGGATTTCCAACTAGTTAGGGTTTGCAGCCACATGGCCTAATGTCCACCTGGTCAATTTAAGATCAATTAATCAAAATAAAAGTCTAAGAAGGAATGCATGACTTTTGTATTATGAAGATAAATGTTGTGACAAGAGATTAAGTATATATAAATAATAGGGTAAATAGTACTACATCCCATTTAAGATTTCTTATATAATACAAAACTATTATTTAAAATCTACACCGCATTTACATTTGACCATATTAGCAGCAGCAACAGAGGGAGGAGAGAGAAAACCTCTCTCATATCATAAATATATATATATATATATATATATATATATATATATATATATATATGGCAAAATGATTTCTGCAGCTGTTATACCTACAGTAAGCAAGGATACACGTCCGAATCCTAGGATACGGCAACGGATTCTGAGTTTTTTTTTTTTTTTAAAAGCCGTGGGGCCCACTTTTTTGTGTCAGCTGTAGATAACACTATCTACGGCTGCTGCAGAAATGTTAAGCCTATATATATATATATATATATATCCAAGGAAGATGAAGCTCATGTGCTTATCTCCCTTTAAAGCAAAGTTGGAAATTTAGAATGGAACAGAACCAATTAGATTTTGGTCTGCTTCTTTATCAGCCTCCAAATGGTTGATTCTTGAAGTAAGAGGCAGCGGATTTTCATGGCTTCATGGGTGCTTAGGCTATACGTCAAAGTTATCCCTTGCACTATATTCATGTACAATTACATTACAAATAATTTGAGAATTTATCTTAGTTTTACATTTATTTGCATCTTTTAAAGACTCACTCTTAATATTCCGTCTTGCTCTTTGAATATAAAATTTAAGATAATTATTGCTTGTGGTAAAAATAAAATATATAGGAGACTACAATAAGATAATTATTGTGTGTGTTTGTAGCTGCAACAAAACTAGCTTTTTGTTTGTTTGTAATGTTATCTTATTTTGTTGCTCCATGTTTACTTGCATCTTTTATGGACTCACTTTTGAAATCCAAACTTGCACCTTGTATACAACATTTAATTTTATGTCCCTCTCTATATAAAAAGTAAAGCCTATGGCAAAAATAAAATAAGAGACACCTATAAGCTAATCTATTTACAATTGAGTATAGGAAAGTCTTTCTCGAAGGAGATGCTCCAGCAGTATACAATTGTATTTTGGACCAGTCTGAATGAAGATCATTCACATAATGGTATCATTTAGGACCTGTTTGGATTAGTTTTTTTCTTAACCAAAAGTCTTTTTTTTTTTTTTTTTAGAAAAAAAAAAAACATTTCTGCTACAAAGTTCATTTGGATGTCTGCTTTTAAAAAAACAGAAGTTACAAAAAAAAAATCAAAAATCTATTTTTTTTTAAGCTAAAAATCTTAGCTTCTAAAAAAAGAAAAAAAAATTAAACCAATTTCTTTTTCAAAAGTTAAATCTTTTTTTTTTAAATCTAAAGAGCTTTTAACTTTTACAAAAAAACACTTCTAAAATAAACAAGACATAAAACATCTTTTTTTAGAAGCTCATCCAAACGGATTTTTCCAAGACAGATATGTTTATGCTTCCTGGTGGTGGATCTATGGAAAAGTTAGGAAGGGCTATCCCCCCTCCCCCTTCTCTCAAATTCATTAAATTTTTGTCTTAGACCACATTTAGACTTAAGAGAAAGGTAATCTTCCATAAATTTCTTGTTTGAAGAATATTTCAAATCTGACTATATATCGATCTACTATTATATTGCTCTCTCTAAGTTAGTGTAATTTTACTTTTCTAGTTCTCTCGTGCAAAATTTTGTGGCTAGTTATGGCTTTGTTCCACGTGATTGTAATGAAGTGGGATCTGCTTTGAGGAATTTTGCTAGGTAGGTTGGTTCTTGTATACCTGGCTGGAAGAACCTCCAGACCTGATCATTCATTCCTCTTGTTATCTGATTTTGATCAATCTATTTGAAGTTTCGAATTTTAGATCCCGAAAAAAAAAACCTAATCTATATTCTATATTACTACATAGTAAATTACCCTGAGAGATAAAAAATTATTTTAATAAAACTATTAAATACGAAATAAACTTCTGTTAATTTTTAAAAGAAAAAATAGAATAATGAAATTTAAAAAGTCAACAATTTTAGAGTGAAAGTGTTGGTAAAAAACAAACAAGTCTAATGATAGCAAATAGTAAAATTTAAGGGTTCGCTTTTTCTGCGGTTACTGCAGATAAGTTATCTGCGGTTACTGCAGATAAGTTATCTGCAGTAAGCTCAATACGACGTCGTTTTGAGGCTGAAATTATGATATTTTTGTAATTTTAATTTATGTCAAGGTTATAATTGTCTTTATATTTATAATTTTTTAATATTTCAACATAAAAACGACGTCGTTTTGGGAATAAATACAGATAACTTATCTGCAGTAACTGCAGAAATATTTTTCCCAAAATTTAATTGAGAATTAGAGTTTTATTTGAACAAATTATAAACATTAAATGTTAAATAAACATTATATTAATTTTTAAAAGAAAAAGAATGGAGTAACAAAATCAAAAGAAGACTAAAATCTAAGTGTTGAATTTGGTGATACATTACTGCATTATTGAGAAAGGTTGGAGAGGCCAAGATTCTCTCTGAAAAAGATTTAGTGGAGGGGTCGGAATTCGATCGAACCATGATGTTTGGGTGGTAGGGATAAATAGAAAGAATTATGCTCTGACTTAAAACTATAATTTTTAACTTAATTAGTAATAAATATTTAATTCAACAATTGTATCAAAGCTAATTAAGCTCATGGGTTCAATTTTTTTACTATTACATTTTGT